TTTGTTAGCTGTCAGAATTCAGTCAGAATCCTGAGATTAAAGTCAGAATTCTGAGATTAAAGTCAGAATTCTGAGATTAAAGTCAAGAATTCTGACTTCTTTCTCATATCATACTGAAATAAAATTTTAAAAACAGTTAACTTTTTTTGTTTTTTCCAGTGGCCCTAATCCTCCTCCGTATTTTTCCCATATTAAACTGAAATAAAATTTCAAAATCAGTTAACTTTTTTTTTTTTTTTTTTTTTTTCAGTGTACCTAATTCTCTTCCATATAGGTCTGCTCAATAAAGAACTGTCAGACGCTTTGCCAAGCTGTACTGCAGCTCCATCTACTGGTCAGACAGTATCATTGCACCCATACGCCGTCCCGTCACATGACTTTACTTCCGCAACTTGTGATGCCGCTGATTGAAAAACAGTTCAGCTGCAGGGGTCTTGGATCCAGCCGTGTTGCTGTTTGAGGCTCCTGTTTATCAGCTTTCATATTTAAATATCAAAACAGAAAGACGTCATCATGTCTGCATTCAGACTGAATACCGTCATCCTGATGCTGATGCTGCTGCTGTTTGAACTCTCAGTGAGTAGATATCTGACAGTCTTCAAACTCTTTTACTGTTTTCATAAACGTTCTTCTTTGTAGAAGATAAAATGCATTTAGAGGAAGTACTGCTATCATAATGCAGAATAAATACAGAATTAGTGCTTAATAATTTCTTTCCATTATGTTCCATAAACAGCGTATTTAATCAATTTAGAAAAGTCACTCTGTTCTGAACAGAGCTTTATATTTTTAATATGTCGGTTTTCTTTATTAAAACCCCTTTAAAATGTTTCTTTAATCGAGCATCTTTAGGGTACACCCACAGAGTCACCTGCTCTGTCAATATTCAGCCATAAAACCATAAAATGGTTACTTTGTGTATCTATGTTTATATTCTATGGGAAATGAATGTGTTTTGACCTGCAGCTCGGGGAATCTCCATCATTCAGTGTGGACTACGAAAACAACAGTTTCCGTAAGGATGGGGAGCAGTTTCGTTACATATCAGGAAGTATCCACTACAGCAGGATCCCCAGGGCCTACTGGAGGGACAGGCTGCTAAAGATGTACATGGCAGGACTGAATGCCATCCAGACGTAAGAGTCCTCCACGCAAACACCCACTCACTAGAAATTTATGTTACATTACCAAGATAGAAATAAAGGATTTTAAAATAACTGTTTTCCTAAGCCAGCAGCCCACACTGCACCAAAGAATAGCTTTAGTTTATGACATGTTTAGTGAAGCAAACAAGGTCTACTCACAACTACTTACTTTTAACTAATTGAGAGTTTTGTTTTACTTTTTACATTTTATACTTGGATGCTTGATGGATCTTGGTTATTGAAAGTATTGTTGTTTGACACAATGAAATTGATCGCGTGCTGAGGAGATAATAGCAGCATTTCAGTCAGGCCTGCTGGAGCAGAGATGCTTCCAAAACCTGCAACCTGGACATGGGGACCTGAGGACTACGTTTGGGATTTTTTTTATCTTAGAGCACTTAAAGAATAAATTTAACATTTTCAAAGATTAAATGTAGTCAAGTTATATAAGAAATATGATAGTTTTTTTTATTCATTGTGGATTTTTCCACTTGTAGTGAGTTTAAAACTAAATCTAAATGTAAATCTGATGACTTGGAGAGCACTAAAGGTAAAACATCAAAGGTACATTTACTAACATTTATTAGTGATATATTGCGCTACATCTTTATTTTTATTTATTAGCTTTAGATTGGATATTTTACAGTACAGTATTTTGTTGCTACTCTTTTAACTCGTCCCTATTTTGTTATTCTTATATATTTTTTCTAAGGTCCACATTTGTGTGACCATTTTTTTTCTATGATCTTTTTGCTGCTGTAAACACTGGAATTTCCACATTATGCAACAATAAAGGGATTTTCTATTCTATTCTACTCAATTCTATTCTCAACTCAACTCAAACTTTATTTATAAAGCACATTTAAAACAACCGGGGTTGACCAAAGTGCTGAACAGGAATCACAGTTGTGATTGAAGGCTATAATACATAAACACATAAGAAAAATTGAATGGAGATAAAATATAATGGGATAAATGTTTCAATTAAAATAAAATTATAAAATAAAATTTTAAATAAAATTTAGCCAAGTGTCGAATTAGACTTTAATAAAAGCCAGGGAGAAGAAGTGTGCTTTTAGAGAGGATTAAAAACCTCAAAAGAGCCTGCCGATCCAATATGCAAAGGCAAGTTATTCCAGAGTGTCGGTGCCACTGCCATAAATACTTTCTATTCTATTCTATTCTATTCTATTCTATTCTATTCTATTCCATTGAACTGATTCTTCTTCTTTTGGCCTTTTGCTTTCAGGGGTTGGCATCATCTGTCTCCATCTGCGCCTTGTTTTCTGCATGTCACACCAGCTACCTTCATCTCCTCTGTCACTCCATGCATAAATCTTCTGTAATGTTCTTCTGCCTGGTGGCTTCTTCCTTCTACCAGTTTCCTCATTAACTCTCCTCTCTATATATCAGAACCCTCTGAGTCTCAGAGGGCTTTCTATCCATCCTCGTCATTCTGAAACAGAACCTCAGTATCACTGCTACCGGTCTCCGTCTGTAAACCTTACAGTAATTCTCTGCTCTTACCATCTTATCAACTGATAAATCTGCTCAAACAGGTTTCTCAGCTCTTCACCATGCTGAATGCTGCTCTGAACAGTTCACCATAAGTAGGCGACTTAAAATCCTCAAGCTTCTCCCTCTACCGCTCCCTCTCGATCACACACATTCACTCCCACAAACCTTTAATTCACTTCTTTCCAAAGAAAACCTCTTCTCCCTTAATATTCCTCAGCACCATACCCCACTATATAATGTTAGTGTATTTCCCAGCAGCCTCAACAGCAAGCATTGAGTTTCATTTTGTTTCTGCAACATTTACTGGGTACAGAGCACATTTTATAAAGTGATTGTGGACTACTGATGCTTTCTTCCATGTGCAGCTATGTTCCCTGGAACTACCATGAAGAGTCTCCTGGCCGGTACGATTTCAGCGGAGACAAAGATTTGGAAGGTTTTCTTAAACTTGCTCAGGAAATCGGTCTGTTAGTGATCCTTCGTCCAGGGCCGTACATATGTGCAGAGTGGGACATGGTGAGCAAACTGGGACTCTAAATCCTTTGTTTTCTGGGTTTCTCAGGGGCTTTCCAAAACTGATTAGAACAGACAATAGTCTTTATTCAAACTGTGTGAATATTTTTAAGCAAAGAAAGGTAAGATAGGGAGTTAAGTGCTAAGATTACACAGTTATATGCACATAAAACCAGATTACATATAGAAAATTCTGAAAAAATTCAAATTTTCTTTAATTTAACCTTTTTTTTTTTTGCTAATATGTCATCTGACATATGTTTTTCAGAGGCTCTTATAAGCACCGTGTGTTGGACAGATTAAGATCTCAAATAGAGGAGAGTTTATTCTCTCCACTGTCGCAGCATGCATGCTCAGTGGGAGGAGTTGCTTAAGAGTCAACGACGTAAAGTAATGCAAGTAAAAATCCTTGCCGCATGCTCAGTGGGAGGAGCAAGAAAGGATAAAATAATCTGGTTTTCCAAACCAATCTGACAGTCTTGTCTCTGTAAAGTTCCTTGAGATTACACATGGAAAAATTGAAATCTCATTAAGTCATTTTTTCTTAAAATAAGTGAATTTTTGCTTGAATAGAGGAGGTAGACAATTTACATTTAAAATAAGAAAAAAAAACTATTGTATTGTCTTATTTCAAGTGCATATTATCTAATTATCGTGTTTTAAGAGTAGAAATACTCACTCTATTGGCAAATCATCTTATTTATCTGCTCAAATGAAAGGTAAATACACTTACTTTAAGAAATGTTGACTTATTTCTATATCGTTTTTGCAGTGTGTGAATTGGCACTATATAACAAAAAACTCAATTGAATCTGAATTAAATTGATTTGAACTCAGAGCAGAGGGCAGATATCTTAGTT